TAGGGACAGGTGAGCTTTAGCTCTTACTCTGCCATCATCCCCAGAAGTAACAAAAACAGTTTGAAGTATATAGCAATAAATGTATTATTAAGAAATTTAGAAGATTTCGGGGTGCCTGAGTGGCTCAGTGGATTAAAACCTCTGCCTTCGGCTCAGGTTGTGATCCTGGGGTCCTGGGATTGAGCCCCACGTCAGGCTGTCTGTTCGGTGGGGAGCTTGCTTCCCCTCACTCTCTCTGCCTGCCTCACTCCCTACTTGTGATCTCTGTCTGTCAAATAAGTAAATGAAATCTTAAAAAAAAAATTTAGAAGTTTTCAAATACCCTAACTTTATACTTCAAGGAACTGGAAAAAGAAAGAGCAAACTGCCCAAAGTGACTAGAAGGAAGGAAATAATAAAGATGAGAGCAGAAATAAATGAAATAGAGACCAGAAAAAAACAATAGATAAGATCAACAAAATAGGGATGATTTGTTGAAAAAATAAAATTGACAAACCTTTAGCTAGACTAAGAAAAAAGACTCGGATAAAAGTAGAAATAAAAAAGGAGATAAATACAATGGATATTGCAGAAATGGTATAAGAGGCTATAATGAATAATCACATGTCAACAAATTAGATAACTTAGAAGAAATGGATAAATTCTAAAAACAGACAACCCAGAAGAGTGCATCAGGAAGGAATAGAAAATCTGAACAGACCACAAAGAGATTAAGTCAGTAATAAAAAATACCCCATGACAGTGAACCTGAGACCATAAGGCTTCACTTGTGAATTCTACCAAACATTTAAAGAAGAATTAATACAAATCCTTCTCAAACTATTCCAAAAAATAGAAGAAGAGGAAACACCACAAGGCCAGAATTACCTTGATACCAAAGCCAGTTAAGGATACTAAAAGAAAAGTATAAGCAAATATCCTGGATGAATATAAATGCAAAAATTCTCGATAAAATATGAGTAAACTAATTATTTTAGTGTCTTCCTGAATTCAAACACTGTAACCCAAATGGGATTTATCCCTGGGATATAAGCTGGTTGAAAATAGGCAAGTCGAATGTAATACATTAGTATTGATAAAAGAGATAAAAATCATATGATAATCTCAATAGATTCAGAGAATGCATTTGATAAAACATGACTTCTTTTAATTATAAAATTCCTCAAAAGATTGGGAATAGAAGGAACATACCTCAACATGATAAAGCCCACATATGATAAACCCACAGCTAATATTATACTCAGTGGAGAAAAATTAAAAGTTTTTCCACTAAGATCAAGAAAAAGACAAGGATGCTCACTCTCCCTACTCTTATTCAATGTAGTACCAGAATTCCCAATTAAAACAATTAGGCAGAACAGAGAAAAGGCATCCAAATCAGAAAAGAAGTAAAATTGTCACGATTTGGAGATGAGATGATTTTATATACAGGAAATCTCAAAAGAGTCAACTAAAAAAAATGTCAGCACTAGTCAACAATTTCAGTAAAGTTGCAGGATATACTGTACACTAAGAATGAAACATCTGAAAGAGAAAGAAAGCTACCCCACCTAGAATAGCATCAAAATCTACACCTAGGAATAAAATTAACAAAGAAAGTGAAAGATATGTACAGTGAAACCTATAAGACTTTGCTGAATGAAACTGAAAAGACACAAATGGAGAGACCCGTCCTCTGTTCATGGATTGGAAGAATTAATGTTAAAATGTCCATACTACCCTAAGCCATCTGCAGAGTCAATGCAATCCCCATTAAAATACCAATAGCATTCTTCACAGAAGCAGAACAAAAACCAAAAAACAGACAAAACAAAACAAAAGAAAACAATAAACCAGGGAGCCTGGGTGCCTTCCTCAGTTAAGCAGCTGCCTTCAGCTCAGGTCATGATCTTGGGCCTGTTACGAAGCCCTGTATTGGGTTCCCCACTCAGCGAGGAGTGTGCTTCCCTCTCTTCCTCTAACCTTCTGCTGTTTGTGCCCTGTACCCCTCAAAGAAATAAAATCTTTAACAAAAAAAAAAAAAAAAAAAGAAAAAAAGAAAAGAAAAAAGCCCTGAAATCTGTATGGAACCACAGAAGAATTCAAATAACCAACACAGTCCTGAGGAAAAAGAACAAAGCTGGAAATATCACACGTTCTGATTTCAAACTGTATTATAAATCTGTATTAACCAAAACAGTATCTTACTGGAGTGAAATAATACACATAAACAATGGAATATAATAGAAAAGCCAGAATTAAATACCTTCATGTTTGGTCAACTAATATTCAACAAGAGAACCAAGAATAACTTAATGGGGAAAGGATAGTCTCTTCAACAAATGGTGTTAGAAAAAACTGGATAAACACATGCAGAAAAATTAAATTGAACCCGTCTTACATTACTCATGAAAATTAACTCAAAATGGATCAAAGACTGAAACATAAGAGTCAGTACCATACAGGGAAAGAGCCATAAAATCAAGACAAAATAAGTTCTCCAATATAAGTAGAGTTGTAGAAGCTACTAAGGAAGCAATAGTTAATTACAATTATGAGAAGTTCTAGCAGAGGCCACACTGAGTTTAGGCTTGAAAGAAGAATAGAACTTCACCAGGGTATGAGTAAAAATGCTAAGTATATGACTCCATAAAACCAGAAGTTTGATGTGGCTAAAGCAGAGGATTGCTTGGGAAACCTGGCTAGGCATGAGGGATGTTTGGACATGAGGCTTGGAAGATCCTTGAATGGCACAGTGAAAAGTTTGGGGTTTAGTCTATAGGCAATAAGAACCTTCTGAAATGTTCAGAATAGAGAGAAGATTGATGATTCTTTATGGGCTTTAACCAATATTGACAGCAGTGAGATGGGGGAAGCAGGTGAAAATCTGAGAAAGAGAAGTCAGAACAGGAGTGCCTGGACTCCAGTAGGGCGAGTGGAGACTTGGTTTTTGTGCAAGACAAATCTGAAGGGAAGGAAGACATGAAGGGAAAAACATATTCAAGGATGAGGGATTGAGGTTTAAGATTGAATCAGGGTTTGGAGAGTGCTGCTTCTATATAGCATAATAGCAGACAACTGGAAACTCCTTGATAAGATTCAAGGTGCGAGATAGAGAATTGAGAATCCTTACCAGAGAGATAATAATGAAGTCATGAAAGTAGATGTACTGACCCAAGGAAAGAAGTGAACAAAAAGATAACACTAAGGGGAAAACTAAGGGAGATGGCTGTGTCTATCAGTGAGTGAAGCATAGGCATGGAGTATGAATATGACCCAAGACAGGTGACACCCTGGAGGTGGCAGTGCCACAGAGATGAGGTAAATGGACTGACTCTTCAGGACTCTGGAACCACATTACCCACGTTGGAATTGCTTCTTAGTTGTGTGTCAAGTAAGTCATTTGACCTCTTAGTGCCTCCATTTCCTCACCCGTAAAGTAAGGGTAATAATAATGCCAATACGATAGGGTTATTATGAAAACTAAATGAGCTAATATATGTGAAGTAATTAGAACAGTGGCTGTTACAGAGAAATGGTATATAAGTGTTAGTCATTATTAGTTTCTAAAATACTCTAAAAAAGCAAAAACAAACTATACAGTCATTCATTTAGCCAAGTACTTTTTTGCAGTCCACAATACCCAATAAATTGTATTTTTAAATTTTCATTTATGTTCTCTGGTTGCTTTGCATCAGGACTGCCTTTTTGTTTGTTTGTTTGAGTTTGTTTTTAACATTTTATTTTGCAAAGTTGCAAAAATAATAGAGTTCCCCTATACTCGTCACCTTATTTCCCCTAATATGTTATATATTTATTGAAACCAGAAAATAACCATTAATACACTATTAACTAATCACAAACCTTGTATTAATATTACCAGGGTTTTTTTTTTTTTTAACTTTTTCTTGTCCATGACCCATCCTGGATCCAACATTGCATTTAATGTTGTATCTCCTTAGTTTCTTCTAATCTAGGACAGTTCTTTGTTTTTCATGATCTTAATACACTTGAAGAGTACTGGCTAAGAGTTCAGTAGAAAGTCCTTCAATTTGGGTTTATCTAATGTTTTCTCATGATTAGGTTGAGGTTATGCCTTTTTGACAAGATCACCACAGAAATGGTGTATGCTCAGTATTATCATAACAGGGGCATGAGATGTCAATATGTCTTATTACAAGTAATATTGACTACCAGCTTTTCCACTGTGAAGATAATGGTTGCCCCACCCCCAAAAATGTGTTTTTCTCTCTGTAATTACTCTCACATAGGGAGATACTTTGAGAATATACAAATGTCCTATTTTTTTAACTATAATTCCCTCTATTAACTTTAGCATTCTTTGGTGGTTCTTGCCTGTAATAATTACTGTGATGTTTTTGACCAACAGTGATTTTGTATCTTTATCATTTCTTTTATATTTATTTTTATGCACTTATTTTCTAATTTATTAATTAAAATTCTACCATAGGGAGGAGCTATCCCTTCTCCCCCATTTATTCAGTTATTTATATCAGCATTATATTAGTATATTAGATATTTAGTCTTTAGATTTAACGCAATACTATCATTTATTTTGTTGTATATATTGTTCCCACTTTTGCCATTGGTAGCTCCTTCGGGTTTGTCCTGTGTCCTACTGATATGCTCCCCATTCAATTTCAAGGACTTCCTAACTTTCTGGCATTATGAGATATTCCAGCCTTCCCTTGTATTTTCCTGCCATGGCTCTAGAATCAAACATTTTTTTCAAGGAGCTGTGTACCTTTTATTAAACAATGGTACTTAGAAAACAAGATCTGGATCCTAGGTATGATCATTGCTCCTAGGATGTCATTCCTTCCAGGTCCAGGTAATGCCTCTTTTTCCAGCATCCTGGCCATCTTTGTGAAAGAGATGTTTCCTGGGCTTCTATATTGGAAAAAATATGGGTGAAGACAAGGACACTTTCAGATTATTTTCTTTTTGAAAATAGTAATGGAAAACCAAGACTCTGTTCTTTTTCCTTTTTTCTTCTCTAGTTCTTCAATTTGGATTCACAACTATCTTTGTGGCAGCTTTTCCCCTAGCACCACTTCTGGCCTTACTGAATAACATAATTGAAATTCGACTTGATGCCTACAAATTTGTCACACAGTGGAGGCGACCTTTAGCTTCAAGGGCCAAAGACATAGGTAAGTTGGATTTGAAATGTTTTAAAGATATTAACTGTATGGTGGATAAAGTAAAAACAAACACCAACTCTAGATTTTTACTTATGGTTTCCATGTAAGATGACTTAACTTATTCTTGCAAAAGAATAATTATGTTAGCTTTAAATAATATGAGACAAGAAGTAAAGGTGCCTATTTGGAAATTTATAATTTCTAATACTAGAGAATTTGTGCTTAAATAGATTTTTCAATTTTGTTATTTGAACTTGGAATCTAGAATTTTGATTTATTATCACTTATTTACTTTTTAAAGTAATCTTCCATTTGCTTTATTTTGCCCAAATGTTTCCCTGAGTCAGATAAAGCATAATCCAGTTTTTCTAAAGACAGAGATGGCCTTCAGTCTTTGACAGGAGAGGCTGAGTCTAATCAAATGCAGCCTCTTGAGCACTGCCTGAGATCAGAGATGATCTTTTATTTACTTCTGCATCAAATGCTTAGAACAGAACCAGCAGGCACTCAGTGTATATGGAAGAGAATTGAATATAGATGTACATGGCTCACAGTAGTCTCTAACCTCCATATGAAAGAAACCACATTCAGTGAGCACCTATCCCAGGTCAGTGCAACAGGCACTGGGCCCACCCAGGTGTCAGCACCCTTCAGGAACTCCCATTTTTGTAGTGGCTTGACAGTGGAAGTGCTCGTCTTATTGGATAATGTATTGGTGCCTTATCACTGACTAGAACTCTCTGACTTAAGTCTGATCCTGACTGACTCATTAAGTCATGAGCATTGACACTTTCCCAGAAACTCCTTCAATGCCAAGGTGTTTGCAAGTACAAATTCTTACTCTTGGTGACAAGTGTATTTAGGAATTTGAATGGACCCATGGAAAGGACTATTGAAATGAGTTACCCCAGTTGTTTTCATACTGTTATTCCTGCTGTTGTGTCTGGAACTAATATAACACTTCTCTTTGAATAGGAATTTGGTATGGAATTCTTGAAGGCATTGGAATTCTCTCGGTTATTACAAACGCATTTGTCATAGCGATAACATCTGACTTTATCCCTCGCTTGGTGTATGCTTATAAGTATGGACCTTGTGCAGGCCAAGGAGAAGCTGGACAAAAGTAAGTTTGTCATAAAACTATCATGAAATCTCCATTTCCTATGCACTGTGTGATGCTGGTACACTCAGTCAAAAGCTTCTGCATTGGAGCAACCCAGGATGAGAAGGACAGTGGTGGGGGAGGTAAAGTTATGAGGAAACTTGCAGCCAAGGAAAACACATCTTGATTGACTAAAGAGTTGGGGCTCAATACAGGTAAACTTTGGGTGAAATTAATCATTTCCCCTACCCCTAAACCTGCCCACTATGAATTCAGAAATGTACAGTATGCTAATATGTGTAAGCCAAAACAAGTAGTGCATGATATAGTATACAGTTATGCCATTTTTATAAGTTTGTAAGAGGACAGTTACAATCTGATTCCTCCTGTGACATCATATGGAGACTCTACAAATTCTGCACCAGAAATGTGCAACCATGTGATAAGTATCCTGTAGGTACTCAATAAATATTTGTGGAATAAGTAACTGAATGATTCTTTCCTGGCTATTGACCTGACCAAGGTACATATTACCTCAGGCAAATTCAATTCTGTGGCATCACCTAAGTGATCCCCAAAAGTCATGACTTTCTGGGTATTTCTGGTCAGGTAAAGTCCAAGCAAAATTATAACACATCCCCTAGATTTCGTTTCTATATCCTTTTTAATAGGAGAAAAAAATCTTCCTTGGCTAAAGTAAAAATAATCCAGTTCTAATTGTGGAATTTAGATGTCTGTAAGTTAGAGTAGAGTATGTTTTGGGAGACTTTTCAATGTCCCAGAAATCATCCCACATGGGCTATGACTACTCGCACAGGCAGCCCTGCTTCCTGGTTTACCAGTCAGGACGAAACTAATCCATATAACTACTGTAGTTAGGTTAGCCCCAAGGAATAAAGTGCTACCAAATCAAGTCAACCAAATTCATGTACCCCTGGCCTAGGTCCAATTTCATTATTAATCTTACTTTGCTCTAAGGCATGGATGGTTGAAAGCAGTAAAGCTTACAATCCAGCTATTTGAAGAGGCTTCTATAAAGTTCTTTACTGTAATAACCATGTGGCCATTAGACACTAATTATCTAGCAACTTCAAGTGAACCATCCCATTTTAAGAGACTTAAAGACATACTATATTACTCATGTAGTCTTTCTAATTTTAACTGTTGCCAACATCCTCTGTTTGAGCCTAGAAAAGCTTGCCTTTGTTTAAACCACTTTCCCTTTTGTTTTGCATTTGATTCTCAAAACAACCCAGGACTGGGACGTGCAGTATTACCCTCACTTTGAGGAGCAGAAAGAGACTGAGAGGTTAAATCCAGAATCACAAGGTGGAATAACTGATGGAAGCCACATGAAGGCAAAGCCTAGACTCATACAGTTCTTGCCATCCTGAACCACACAGCCCTGGGGGCCATTGCTACATAATGTTTATCTAGCTTATCCAACAGGAGAAAATTCCCTGGGGGTTTAAGTCCCAGTGTTATTTAAATTCTTCCTGGACCACAAATGTAATGAAACCTGTTTTGGTTTGTGGGGAAAACCCAAAACCCGAAAATAATATGGGAACATTTACGTGCAGTTGATAGTGAATCAAAGCTTTAGAATGTTGACAGCTTATTAGATTTAAGACAATGTTCATGGAGACCTAAGAGTCTTCTTGACTTAGGTTTATTGGGCTCCCCTGGGCTATTTTTTATATATCATCTTTCACATAAGAGCCTTCTGCCACTTTGAATATTTATAGGTCTACCTTCTATCTTCTAATCCATTGGTCATTTTTATTGTTTGCAAATAGTTGCTTTGGTATAAGTTTCTTCATGAATCTTATGTTCTGCCCCACCAACTACTTTATTATCCTTTTTAAGGTTTGTTTGTTGTTGTTGTTGTTGTTGTTGTTTTTCCAATTCGGAAATGCTTTAGAAATTAACTCATATAGGAGCAGCATTGTCAAATTTTAGAATGTTACAGGCTTTTGAGATAGCATGTGCATAGTGAAATTATACTTATTATTATTTAATTCACCCATAGAAATGCCCTATTTCAATTGAGGCTGACTCTAAATCAAAAGTGCTCCAACCAAACCAACCTCCAAAACTCCTTAACTATTTATTGTGGGCAATAGCTAAGATTCTACCACAGTGAAAAGACTTTGAGAAATGCCCAGGCAGTTCAGTATTAGCAGTCCCTCTTCTTCCCTGATTATGGAAAGGATATGGAAGGAAGACTTATGCAGTGAATAACTGTGTATATATGTCCTACGTCCATGTGTGATGCTTTGTACACAGGAGCACAGAACCAAACACACATTTTCAAGCTGGATTTATAACTGACATTACATGAATATGCTTAAGAAATAGTTCAAAGATACATCCTCTTTATTTCGAAAGGAGAGTGTTGTCCATGAGACTGATATTTTACTTAAATTTAGATTTTTCCTCAATTGAGTTTTTGGACAGAGCAGCCACTAAGCCACAGTTTTAATCTCAATAAAACTGCAGGGCTGCTTTGGGTAGTAAGAAAGAGTGCAGGAGGCTTGTGAATATTTCATTTCAATGTTGGGCCTGTTTTCTGCAAGTTTCCAGAGCACCTTTCATCTCTCACTGTTTGGCTCCTGAGAAGACTCTGCTATATTCTATAGTTCACAAAAACTGTCTTCCTCTCTATGACAGCTAATAATCATCAAAGCACTCATTTGCTTTCATGTCATGTTCTAGGCAGTTCAAAGATGAGGAAGACATTATTCCAAATTACCCTTCTAAGGAGTGGTAGGGGAGACCTACGGCCAGTTGGATTAAAGCATATTACACACCCACTGACCATGTGTTTCACCCATGAGTGACTTGACAAATGGGTCCTTCTGCTTGGTTCATTTTTTTAAGGCCCTGATAAAACCTCAGTGATTTGTCTTGATCAAGACAACACACAGAACTTATGTCCTCTCAGAACTACCTGTGTGTCATCGTTTTGGTTTGGTGTTCAGCAGCTTGGAATAATCATGCCAGACAAGTTAATGAAGAGAATTTAAAAGCTATGATTTATTCATTAAATCAATAATTATTTATTGACCTTCTGCAAGGTACAAGAAATAAAATTAATAGTAGCCACTCACCTTTAATTAAGATCTTGCTATATGCTAGACACTCTATCACTCACTTTACATGTATCCTTTCATTTAATCCCCACAATGACCCTATGAGTTAGGCACGTCTGTTGTTTAATGAAGTTACATAACTTGCCAAATTTGCATGGCTAGAAAGTAGAAGACATACAGTTTGACCCTCAAACCCAAGTTTTTAGTATCGTAATATACTGACTCCTCATACAGAATAGAAGATGTGTCCTCAAGAAGCTTATTAGCTGTGGGATATGTAGGTAATAATTTTATTCCTGGTCCATTCTTAAGGCCATGATAGAATCTCTGATACTTTAGTTTTCCTCAACTGAAATCAGTTGAATTTGATATTTAGTGGATTCCTACACTACACAAAACATAAAAATACTTATGACACCTGTTCAGCTCTAAAAACTAAAGGAGAAGACCTCCAACCATGCAGGCACCTCAAGCACAAGCTGTATAGTAATGGTGCAGTTAGGTACAGCAGCACCATACAGAAGAGGGAATGAGTCTTTTTCTGGTGGGATTAGGACATCTCCCCAGAAGGAGTGCCATTTTAGTTGCTCATTGAAAAATGAGCACTATTTCCACTTAGAAAGAAATGAAGAGAAAATAGAAAAGATAACCTGAACAGAGGCATGAAAGCATGGTATATGCAGGGAATGTAGCTTAGCATGACTGTAGCAAGGGATGTGATTTGGAGGGGGAGGGTCATAGAAACACCAGTCACACTTGAGGGATTATGACAGAGTATAGATATTCATTAATAAAGGAATGTGTTTGTGTGTGTATGTGTGTTTACATCATCAAGGAAAGAAACAGTGATTTGCCTATTAATCATGCAATGCTGTCTTTCACCTATTTCACTGAAGTATTGATTGGGGTAGTGATGTTCTGGATGATGATTCTGAACAAGAAGAATGGAATAAAAGAATGACTTGTTCCTGATTCCACATACCCAGAGTTTTTCAGTATATCCTAACTTGAGTGCTTATGGTAAAGCTAAAGGCATTTACAAGTGCAAGAGCTTCTAGGAAGAGCTTCTAGGAATTGGATGCAGAGGTGATCAGAGAACTAATTATAGAAGTCTCTTTCTCTTTTAGGTGCATGGTTGGCTATGTAAATGCCAGCTTATCTGTGTTTCGAATTTCTGACTTTGAGAACCGATCTGAGCCTGAGTCTGATGGCAGTGAGTTTTCGGGGACTCCTCTCAAGTATTGCAGGTGAGTATGGCACTCTTAGCCAAACCTGGGCTGGCTCTGCCATGGGGAGGTTTTGCTCAGACAGCTCTTTCTGACTGAGTGGGTTTAAAGCAGTGGTTCTCAACCTTGATCATGCATTAAAATCCACTGGAGAATTTTAAAATCTCCTCTTGACCAGGCTGTGACCTAAAAAATTAAAACAGAATCTCTGGGATAGAAGGCAGACATCCAGATCCAGAGAGCCATATAAGAGTAAACCAAAGAGACCTATACCGAGACTTTATAAAAAGAATATTAAAAGCAATAAGAGAAAAACAACTTGTTATATACAAGGGGAACCCTCCCCTCAATAAAACTACCAGATTTCTCAGTAGAAGTTTTATAGGCCAGAGGAAGTGGCATGAACTATTCAAAGTGCTAAAAGGAAAAAAAAAAACAACAAAACAGCAACCTGCCAACCAAGAATATTCTGCCCAGGAACAATGTCCTTCAAAATTGAAGGAGAGTTGAAGAGTTTTCCAGACAAGCAAAAGCTAAAGGAGTTCATCACTATTTGACCAGCCTAACAAGAAATGTTAAAGGGACTTCTTTAAGTTAAAATGAAGGAGGCACTAATTAGTAACAAGAAAACAGATGAAAGTATAAATTGCACTGGTATGTATATAGAAAAGAAGTGGGAATGATCACTTACAAAGTTAGTATGAGATTAAAAAACAAAAGTAGAAAAAATCATTATAACCACAATAATTATTTGAGGGACACACAAAATATGGACATTGTGACATAAAAACAAAATGGAGGGAGAGTAGGGGCACCTGGGTGGCTCAGTGGGTTAAGCCTTTGCCTTTGCCTCAGGTCATGATCTCAGGGTCCTGAAATCGAGCCCCACATTGGGCTCTCTACTCAGAGGGGATCCTGCTTCCCCCTCTGTCTCTGCCTGCCTCTCTGCCTACTTGTGATCTCTCTCTCTCTGTCAAATAAATACAAATAAAATCTTTTTTAAAATGGAGGGAGAGTAAAGATATAGAGAATAAAGATATAGAGCTTCGGAATGTGATGAAACTTAAATAATTATCAACTTAGATTATTAGTTGTTATAGGTTAGATTAACCACAAAGCAAAAAACCTACAGTAGAGATACAAAAGAGAAAGGAATCTAAGCCCACCACTAAAGAAAGCCATCAAATCATAAAGGAAGAGAGGAAGAAAAAAAACCGGAACTACAAAACAGCCAGAAAATAATTTTAAAATGGCAGTAAGTAATACATGTCAGTAACTACTTTGAATATAAACAAAATAAATTTTTCAGTCAAAAGACATAGAGTGGCTGAATGTATAAAAAATCAAGACTGATCTATTTGCTACCTATGAGACTCACTTCTGATGTAAGGATATAAATAGACTGAAAGTTAAGGGATTGAAAAAGATATTCCATGCAAATAAAAACCTAGGAAAGCTGGGATACCTATATGTCTCCTTTAAATATAGACTTTTTTAAGAAAAGAATATAATAGACAAGATCATTATATAATGATAAAGAGGTCAGTCAATCCAACAAGATTTCTCAACATACCCAACACAGGGGCACCTGGTATATAAAACAAATATTAATAGACCTAAGGGAGAAATAGATAGCAATACACTAATAGTAGAGAACTTTAATACCCCACTTACATCAATGAATAAATCACCCAGACAGAAATTCAATAAAATAATATTGGCCTATACAGCATGTTATAGATTTATACAGAACATTTCATCCAAAAGCAACAGAATACATACTTCTCAAGTGCACATAAAACATTCTCCAGAATACAAATCAAAACCACATAAGATAACACTTCACACCAGTCAGAAACGCCAAAATCAACAAGTCAGGAAACAACAAATGTTAGCAAGGATGTGGAGAAAGGGAAACCTTCTTACACTATTGGTGGGAAGGCAAGTTGGTGCAGCCACTCTGAAAAACCATATGAAGGCTCCTCAAAAAGTAAGAAATATAGCTACCCTACAATCCAGCAATTGCACTACTAAGTATTTACCCAAAGGATACAAACATAGTAATTTGAGGAGAACCTGCACCCCAGTGTTTATAGCCTCAATGTCCACAATAGCCAAACTATGGAAAAAGCCCAGATGTCCACCAACAGATGAATGGATAAAGAAGATGTGTGTGTGTGTGTGTGTGTGTGTGTGTGTGTGTATATATATATACACACACACACACACATCCACACACACACACACACACATACATACATACATACACAATGGAATTTTTCTCAGCCATCAAAAAATGAAATCTTACCATTTGCAGCAATGTGGATGGAACTAGAGGGTATTATGCTAACTAAAATAGATGAATCAGAAAGACAACTATATGATCTCATATGTGGAATTTAAGAAACAAAAGGGTATCATTAGAGAAGGGGGGGAGTAAAATAAGATGAAATCAGAGAGGGAGACAAACTATAAGAGAATCCTAACTATGGGAAACAAACTGAGGGTTGCTGGTGGAGGGGAGGAGGCGGGGGATGGGGTAACTGGGTGATAGGCATTAAGGAGGGCACTTGATATAATGACCACTGGGTGTTATATGCAACTGATTAATCACTAAACTCTGACTCTGAAGCTAAAATACATTGTTAACTATATTGAATTTAAATTAAAAAGAGAAACATTCTCCAGGATAGATCATTAAAACAAATCTTAATAAATTTAAGATTGAAATCACATGAAGCATCTTTTCTGACTCTGGTGGTATAAAATGAGAAATTACAAAAAGAAAACTGGAAAGATTCACAAGTATGTGGAGACTAAACATATTACTGAACATCTAGTGGGTCAAAAGGGAAATAAGACATAGCTTGAGACATTTGGAAATAGAAATACAGCATAACAAAACATATGGGATAAAGCAGTCCTAAGAGGGAAGTTCATAGCAATAAGCGTCTATCTCAAGAAACAAGAAAAATCTCAACCTAACTTTATAGCTCAAAGAACAAAAATAAACAAAAAGAACAAATGAAGTTAGTAGAAGGAAAAAAGTAACAAATATCAGAGCAGAAATAAGACTAAAAACAAATAGAAAAGATCAATGAAACTAGGAGGTGGTTGTTTGAAAAGATAAATTGACAAACCTTTAGCTAGACTCTCCAAGAAAAAAGATTCAAATGAATGAGAAATGAAAGAAGATGCTTTATAACTGACACCACAGAAGAACAAAGGATTGTAAAAGACTATTGAACAATTATATACCAACCTAGAAGAATGGATAAATTCCTTGAAACATACAAATTACCAGGACCAAATCAGGAAGAAACAGGAAATTGGAACACACCAATTACTAGTAAAGAGATTGAATCGGCAATCAAAAACCTCCCAACAGGGGCTCCTGGTGCTTAGTCGGTTAAACCTCTGACTCTTGATTTCCGCTCAGGGCATGATCTCAGAGAGGAATCCCAAGTGGGCCTCCGAACTGGGCATGGAATTTGCTTAAGATTTTCTCTCTCCCTCTGCCTCTCCCTTTCTAAACGAACAAACAAAAACTCCCAAGAAACCAAAGTCCAGGACCAGACAGCTTCACTGGTGGGTTCTACTACCACACATTCAAAGAATTGATACCAATTTTCCTCAGAATCTTCCAAATAATAGAAGAGTGAATACCTCCAAACTCATTTTACATTATCCTAACTCCAAAACCAGACAAAGACACCACAAGAAAAAAAAAATCACAGCCTAATATCCTTGGTGATGTTACTTACAAGAGTAAGGATGAATCTTAGTAGCGTGCTTGTAAAAGAAAAAAAAAAAAAACCAATCCTCAGAAGACTATGTACAGTATAATATCCTTTCTAGAAAGTTCAAAACCAAAACTAAACAGTATAATATTCAGACAAATGAATATTGATACAAACTTTTGTTAATAATAACAATGAAATTCAGAATAAGGAAAGCAAGGGGATGAGGAGAAGGAGGAGAATGGGGGTAAGGTATAAATTCCTGATAAGGTTTTAATTCTTGTGTTACATGGTAGATATATGAGAGTTCATCATATTAAGTATTAAATAAATATAAAGGTTAGAGAAAAGAACATGAATGGATCAATGAGATTTGTTTAAAAAAATTAAATATGATTAGGCCAATTCTGTGTACCTGAGGTTGAAAATAATGTTATATGGAAATGCAAAGGATGAAGAATAGTCACAATGCTTTTGGAAAATAAAGTGGAGATTTACCTTACATTAGAATTAGTATAAAATTATAATAATCACTATAGTGGTATCACTGGATCAAACAAATAGAAAATGGAATAGTTTTGAGAACTTAAAAATTTCACATTAAAGATATAATCACAAAATAACACATACAATATGATTTCATTTATATAGAGTTCAAAGCAGACAAAACTAAGCACTGTTTTATTAAGGAACACTTGTGTAAGTAGTGTAACTATAGAGAAAAGCAGAAAATTAAATAGCAGTTAACTTTCGAGTGTCTGGGATTGCTAGTGAGGCATTTCTAAGTTATTGTCTCCTGTTAATATGGTTAAGACACATGTTCTGTGTCTTAACTTGGATGGCGGTTATGTGAAGTTCACTATCATTCTTTCAAATGTATATATACTCTCTCACTTTTAAAAATGGGAGTAGATTAACTATACCTGGCACTGGAAAAAATATATATATTTGCAAACCAATAATCCATTTCCTGAGAAACAAAAGCTGCTTTAGAGAATGCACTAATGGGAACACCCTGACTTTCCCACATGTAAAATTGAAGTCAAGAAATTACAAGTGTTACTTTGTGAAAACAAATCTGACTTTCTTGAAAAAAAAAATTCTCCAAACATTAATTCCACTGGACCACTTAGTTTCTTTGAAGGTATTAAATGAAGATTAGAGAAGTAGCACATTGATTCACTTAGCTTTGAAACTTAGCTTTCTGTCTGTTTCTACAGCAGACCAGGGTAGTGTTTTCTTTGCATAAATAAATAAATAAATAGCACTGCATCAAAATAAATATTTGACATTTGGCAAATAAATAGCACTGCATCAAAAACAGAGATGAGCACAAAGACATCTGAGCACCTCTCAGACCTCTGCCTCATTGGAAAGGCCAGTGGGATCAGGAGTAGGCTGGCACATCAGCTGAGAGCTCTACCTGAAGCATTCATCTGCAAACTCAGAGAAGAGATAGGAGAGTTCAAAATTTTAGCACCTGGTGAGATGGAGAACATAATTGTGTTACTAGGGAAAACCAATGTCCAGAGAAACTTCATGAATTACCTAAGATCATAAAATGAGGCAGACCCCAAATACAGTTCCAGTGTGCTTTCCAGTGCATAGTCTGTAGAGAACTGAGGACAGTGAAGCAGATGACAGCCAAACTCATTAGCACACTACAATTTAATTGTCTTAGGGTAGCAGTGAGGAGTCTTCTAAAGAGAAACTTGACTTTTTGATACAATGGCTTAAGAGAGTAGGAAGGCCAGAAACCTGCTGCTTCTGAAAACTGAAACTTCTTAAAAATTTCATAGATTCTGAGAACAAGACTCAGAAGTGCCAGTGTAGGCACATTGCATCCTTTGTGCACAAATTAGCAGAGCTCTGTGACAGATCCACAAATGGTTGTATACTACACAGAGGTTGAGCCAATAGATGCAAATTCTCAACCATTGGATCTCTGTATAGAAATTATCTGATATTGCCATCTCACTGTAGCCACCAATGTAAGTGCTTTCTAAATATTAATAGTGTGTATTGCATGGAGCATTAGGTGTGGTGCATAAACAATGAATTCTAGTACACTGAAAACTAATTTAAAAAAATACAAAATAAAAAAAGACAATGTACATTTCATGCAATCTGTAGTTAAAAACTCAAAAATATGTTTTACCTTCAAAAAAAAGAATGTTAATTTTTAAAATATTTAAAAATCCATTAATTAAAATGTAAGATCACCACCTAAAAACAAGTGTTTTCTTCATTTTTGCATATTTCAGTAGTCCTTGCTTATCTGTGGGAGATACACTCCAAGACCCCAAGTGGACGCTTGAAACTGTGGGTGGTACCAAACCCTGTATATGTTATGTTTTTCCTATACATACTTACATAATAAAATTTAATTTATAAATTAGTCATAATAAATTAGCAACAATAATATAACAATTATAACAAAATACTATAAGAAAAGTTATGTAGTATCTCTCTCAAAATATCTTCTAGTACTGTACTCACCCTTCTTTTGATGATATAAGATGATATAATTCCTACATGAAGAAATGAAGCAAGGGGAATGACATAGACATTGTGACCTAGCATTAGGCTACTATTGGCACCGTGACAATAGACAGAAAGAGGACCATCTACCTCCTGACTGTGGTAGGGAGGGTGTGGTAACTGAAACCACATAAAACCAAACAGCAGAATGGGGGGGGGCAAACTATTACTTGCATATATGTACAGTTTTATAAAGAGAGTCATGTTTGGTACTCTCTGTCATCATTGGGTCATAAAAAGTATTTCAATCTTTTTAGTCTTCATACTTTTATTTAATGAGTATTTATATTTGATATAAATGAATTCATTTATTTGCTACAAATTTGTAGCAGAAATTTAAGAATGATATGTCCATATTGTGTCTTTGGAAACAATCAAGGGAAAACCATGATTTTTCACCCAGTGAATTTAGGAGGGATCTGGGGAGGAGGAGATTTACTAATATTCTTCAAATGAAAAGCTGAACAAGGTCTAAGAAGTGAAGAGATGGGGCAATCACAATGAAGGGCAAAAGAGCAGAGTTGAGGCATTAATAGGAAAGGAGCAGCATGTTCCAAAAGTAATCTTGTTTTAATAAATGCTGTCATGTAAAAAAAAAAAGTTTAAGGAGTTAATGAGAGTAACTGTTGAAACAATTTTTATAAATTTTTTTATAAATACAATAAATAATAATATAATAAAAGCATAGTCATTTTTCTTCTAGAATGTTTACTCAGACTACATTTGAAATATAGGTAGCTAAAGAAACACAGAAATCACATTTGTTATCTTAATTGCAGAAAGCACAGTTCCTGATTCTTCTGCTCTGCAAAAGGTTTAAAAAAAATAGTTCATGCAGACTTTTAGTCCTGAATAGTTTGGACCTTTGACAGGAACAATTTACATAACCATATATTAGAATAAAAATGTTCTAGACAATTACCTAATCCTCCTCACTATAGAGGGAACCAATGGCTTGAAGGCACTAATAGATTAATTCTTAATTTCAGCAGATATGCACTATAAATATAATTTTACTGACAAAATAGATAATTATTATATACCATAAGCATTAATGGTAATTAAGATGATGATTGTGAAGATAATAGTGACAGCTCATTTCTATAGTCCTTGGTACTTTCCAAAGATGCTCTGCATAGGACAAAAATTGACATATTGGCCAATGGACTAGGATAGACAGCCCAGAAATAAATGCACACCTACATGGTCAATTAATCTGTGAAAAAAGGAGGCAATCGAGAAAAGACAGTCTTTTAAACAGATGGTATTGGGAAACCTCCAGTTATAAAACTGGACAGCTACATGCAAAAGAATGAAACTGGACCACTTTCTTATAACCATATAAGAAAATAAAGTCAGAATGGATTAAAGACCTAAATGTGAATCCTGAAACCATGTAACTCTTAGAAGAAAACATGGGCAGTAATCTCTTGGACATCAGCCACAGCAAAATATTTATGGATATGTGTTCTCAAGCAAGGGAAACAAAACCAAAAATAAACTACTAGGACTACATTGAAATAAAAAGCTTTGGCACAGCAAAAGAAATCATCAATAAAACAAAATGGTATCCTAGTAAATGGGAGTAGATATTTGCAATAGATCTGATAAGGGGTTTATATCCAAAATATATAAAGAACTTAACACCAAAAAAATTACCAGATTAAAAAATAGAGTGAATAGACATCTTCCCAAAGAAAACATACAGATGGCTAACAGACACATAAAAAGTTGCTCAACATCACTATCAGGGAAATGCAAATCAAAACCACAAAGAGATATCACCTCACACCAGCCAGAATGGCTAGTATCAAAGAGACAAGAAATAAGAGTTGGCGAGGATGTGGAGAGAAGGGAATCCTTGTGCACTATTAGTGGGAATGTAAACTGGTGTAACCACTGTGGAAGACATTATGGAGGTTCCTCAAAACATTAGAAATACCATACAATCCAATAATTCTACTACTGAGTATTTGCCCAAAGAAAATGAGAATGAAAATTCAAAAAGATACATGCGCCCTTATGTTTATTGAAGCATTATGTATAATAGCTAAGTTATGGAAGCAACCTAAGTGTCTGCTGATAGATGAATAGATAAAGAAGTGGTAGTTTATATGCTTGCAATGAAATATTACTCAGCCATTAAAAAGAATGAGATCTTGGCATTTGTGACAATATGGATGGACCTAGAGAGTATTATGCTAAGTGAATAAGTCAGAGAAAAACAAATACTATATGATTTCACTTATGTGTGGAATCTAAAAAACAAATCAAGTGAACTCTTAAACACAGAGAACAAAGTGGTGATTGTCAGAGTGGAGGTAGGTAGGGGAATAGGCTAAATAGATAATGGAGATTGCAGACCTCCAGTTATATAATAAGTCCCAGGATGAAAAGTACAGTATAAGGAATATAGTCAATACTGTAATAATGTTGTATGATGACAGATGGAGGCTATACTTATGGTGATGAATACTAATGTTTAAATTTTGTCAAAGCAATGAGTTCTATACCCAAAACCAATATAACATCATATGTCAATTATACATAATTTAAAAAAAAGATACTCCACATAGGAATTGTCTTGTATCCTCGTATACAAATTAGTGCCAATCCTGATGTTAGGTACTATCTTACATGAGAGCCTGGATAATCATAACTTTTCCTCAGAGAAGGGAATTTGGTATGTTTACACACAGAACTGTTAGAAGAATTAGCATCTCCAGACCTTTCCACATTTCTGGGGCTAATGAAAAAGAACACTGGGTTTAAGACATGTGAAAACTCTACAATATTGAGAGTCATTTTCAGTTTTCCTACCTGTGATAATAGTAATGATAGTGGCAAAGATAAAATGGAGTCAAATGAATTTAAGTTCCTCAGACAGGTGCCTGGTTCCTAATAGGAACCAGGTATTTCACAAATGTTTATGGAATTTGATGCTGACCCAAAAGTTATAGTTGGAGCATACATTAGGAAGGCCTCCTCAGTGGCAAGTGGCAGAAATCCAATATAAATGGACTTAGAAAGAAATTCATTGGTTCAGGTAACTGGGAAGTTGGCAGGATGAAAACTACACTAGTAATGGCTAGATCTCAAGCCTCCAGCTGTGTCAGCAAGACAGTGCCTCTTTGCTAGCTCTGTGTTGTTGAAATGACTTCCTTCACAAGCAAGCTCTCTCCACACAGTCTGTGAGAACCAGCAGCAGCTCCAGGATTTTACCTTCTGTGGACTTGTTATAATTTACTAAATGGTCATTCTAGCAGAAGTCCTGGTGAGGATTCTCGCTGATCAGGTCTGACTCATCTTTTGAACTGGGGTCAGCGGTCAGGGGTGAACCCTGCCTAACCCATATGGATAATTCCCCAGAGAAGAGATATTCTTTTACCAGAAGAAGAAAAGATGGACAAGTGACAGATAGGGATAGAGATAGATAGTCTGGGATAGAGAAACTTTTTGAACTATCTATGATGAATGAGAACTACATAGTGGGAATTGAGGAGATTTGGGAGTCAGGAAAATAAGTTCGGAATATAACATTCATTCTCCTGTATATTTATAGATACCGAGACTACCGTGACCCTCCTCATTCACTGGTGCCCTATGGCTACACACTGCAGTTTTGGCATGTCCTTGCAGCTCGATTGGCTTTTATCATTGTGTTTGAGGTATGTTCTCTTAACCAATTCCTTTGCCATAATTAAGTAACTAAGAGTAATGCATAAATGTAAGTGTGAGAACTTTCAATGTGATTATGTATGTCCAGAATTATTACAGTGATTTTATATAGCCTCTTTAAAAAGTCTTTTTCTTCCCCTTGAGTTGTCCAAGAAACAACTGAAAGTCTGTTATTGATTGTTTATGGATAGGTCACAAATCATCAGTCCTAATGTTCTAGGGCCATTGTTCTTCTACTTTAGGAAAACTGCAGCTTTTTCCATCACTACTTCTGGAGACTCAGATACATCATGTCTGTAATTTGCTTTTCACAAGCCCTCCAAGGTGATTCTTTCTTATGTAGATGTTCAAGGACTATAGTTTGGAAAACATTGAACTGGCTCTTGTATAAGTGGTAGCCTCTGGTTGTGTGTCATCACAACATTACTCACACTCAGGACATAAATAAGTATTATCTTAGACTCAAAATTGACTTTTAATCTACCTAGCAATTACCTATATTACATGTCAGTAAAAATACATCATCTATTTTTGGTCTTTAAGAAAATTGCTACTAGAAATCATTTGCATTTCTATGACTGTACTTATATATGGAAATTCCATCTCCTGTCATATATATTAAAGTCAGATTAATGCAAACCAGAACTACTTCTTGGCTTGGACTGGACATTTCCTGTACCTCTTCTTCCATCATTTTTTCCTTCATTCCAGGTAACCAAGAAAAGACAAGCTGTTCTTCCCTGGGAATTCAGTTATTTAATACTCTAGAATAATGAGAGCCTTTAAATTATCATCTAATACTTTACTGGTCATCATATAGACAAACAGAAATGACAGTGTTTCTAGAGTTTCAGCTTTAAGTAAGTCAGGTAAAGAATTTGTGGCAGTTTACCAGAAAAAAAGTTTCTTCTTGAAATGATCACTTCCTTTAGGCCTACTGGTCATTTTCGTAATCAAAATTTGCAAAGCAAATTTGGTAATCTGCAAATTTTGAAATGTTTTCTTATAATCTTCCACGATGATGCCCATTTTATACATGAGCAAATTGAAGCTCAGAGTGACTTATTCCCAGGTAAGCAGACACCTCTTCAGTAATAAAAGCTACGGAGCCAGGATTCAACCCTGGGTTTCCTGACTCCATGGTATAGGTACTTCTGGCTCACCTTTACATTCTCTGGCCACTCCTTCTCCGCATTCTTTCCTGATTACTTTTCTCATTCCCTGTGAATTGTCATCAGACCAAGTTTAGTCCTCACCTATCCCTGTGACCATCTTTGCTCACATACTTCCCCTGGCCTCCTTCCACTCTCCAGACACACAAGAAGCTCCACATCGCTGGACTGAGAGGAGTTCTTGCACCAAGTTCCAGGGCTCTTTCCAGCTAAGGATGGTAAATAGAGCTAACTTATTGTATTCTCCTTTATGTTTTTAGCACCTCGTGTTTTGTATAAAGCACCTCATTTCATATTTGATCCCAGACCTCCCGAAAGATCTAAGGGATCGAATGAGAAGAGAGAAGTACTTGATTCAGGAGATGATGTATGAAGCAGAGCTGGAACGTCTCCAAAAGGAACGAAAGGAGAGGAAGAAAAATGGTAAAGCACACCACAATGAGTGGCCATGACCAGGTAGGTGAGAAGTGTGCTCATGGTCTAAAACCTCTCCTTGGGCTGAAGGAGGTGCTTTAAACTTCCTGAGTCAAAGCTTGTCATGTCCTACTGATAGAAATCAAACTCCTTAGAAGTTTCCCAAACCAGCCTGTTTCTAAATTGCACAATTTAACTTTATCTTCCCTTTGCACATAATTCCTGCAACTCTTCTCCACCTCCATGCCACTCTTGGTCTGGCAATCAAGGTCTTTAGGAGTTGGCCTCAGTGTTTCTGAAATAAACCTCCCTCTCACCCTTCCACTCTAGTCTGGATATTATCTTTAAACAGAAAGAAGAGTCATGTGCCTTGGGGATGGAAAGTCACCTTTTTTTTTTTAATTTTTTTATTTCTTTTCAGCGTAACAGTTTTCATTGCTTTTGCACCACACCCAGTGCTCCATGCAATCCATGCCCTCCCTAATACCCATCACCTGGTTCCCCCAACCTCCCACCCCCCCACCCCTTCAAAACCCTCAAGTTCTTTTTCAGAGTCCATAGTCTCTCATGGTTCACCTCCCCTTCCAATTTCCCTCAACTCTCTTCTCCTCTCCATCTCCCCATGTTCTCCATGTTATTTGTTATGCTCCACAAATAAGTGAAACCATATGATAATTGACTCTCTCTGCTTAACTTATTTCACTCAGCAGAATCTCTTCCAGTCCCATCCATGTTGTTACAAAAGTTGGGTATTCATCGTTTCTGATGGAGGCATAATACTCCATAGTGTATATGGACCACATCTTCCTTATCCATTCGTCCATTGAAGGGCATCTTGGTTCTTTCCACAGTTTGAAAGTCACCTTTTTATCTGACCCAAGAGAGCCTTCCCTTCATCACCCATTTATTGTTTCCTACCAGGCTGGTCCATGTCACACCATACCCTCTTAAGTTTTCCCCAGACTCATCAGCCTACTGAGTCTCACTTCTTATAAACTTCCCTGGTTATTTCATCAGTGTTACATGTATTGACACATATATGGATCTGTATTGTTAATTTATGATTTTCAAATAGTTATCAGGCTTCCCCGGCCCAATTTTAAGCACCTTTAGGAAAGTCCTTATGGATGGTAATTTTATTCTTTCAACTAGTTAGCATAGTGTTAAATACATGGCACCCTTTGAACACAATTCAGTTGATAAAGGTTAGGTGGATTAAGGCTAAAAACATTGTAAGAAAGTTTCATAATGTTCCCACATATCTTATCAGAAAATTTTTCTGAAACCTTCTCTCTGACAATTCTATTAGCTATGTGTCCTTGGGCAAGTCAGTTAACCTCTGGGCTTCTGTTTCTTCAGTGATGAAATGATTAGATGAACTCTCTCTTTTGGTATTCTGCACATCTAATACAATAGCATTTCTTTTGCCTTCCTCACCCATCATTCCTCTGTCTCCACTCGTTTGAAGACTAACTTTGAAATCATTGTTCAAAATTTGACCTCCAAAAGAAAAATGAGGTATACAAGGCGGGGAAAGTTATGTTTTTCACTTTTTGTATTGGTTAAGATGTAGCAGATATCTGCAGAGATGTTAGTGAATTTGTGTCACACCAGATCTGTGTTAAGAAGTCCAGAAGGCTAGGGGCACCTGGGTGGCTCAGTGGGTTAAAGCCTCTGCCTTCAGCTCGGGTCGCGATCCCAGGGTCCTGGGATCAAGCCCCACATCGGGCTCTCTGCTCAGCAGGGAGCCTGCCTCCGCCTCTCTCTCTGTCTGCCTCTCTACCTACTTGTGCTCTCTGGCTGTCAAATAAATAAATAAATAATCTAAAAAAAAAAAAAAAAAAAGAAAAAAAAAAAAGAAGTCCAGAAGGCTATTATGAGTTGGATATGAAGGTAGACTTGGAGGAAATCACCCAAATCCCGGACCCACAGGTATTATAGTGGTATACAGATATTGAACAATGCTCTAACCCTCAATTCCAAAGTAGGCCTTGGTTTCACTTAAAATCAAGACATTTTTTACAACATAATAATTTTGCTATTTCCCAAATTTGCCATTTGGCTCTGTGATTTTGGGAAAATTGCTTAATTTTTCTGAGACTTCTTGTTTGGCAGAGCTGATATGCAGTTCAAATAAGGCAATGTATGTGAGACACATATTAAGCAATAAAGTGCTATAGAATACTGTAGGGAATTTGTATAGTTAAACATTTTGTTGTAGTCTGCCAGATTCTAGATCTGGTTTTTCCCATTCTCTATCTGTAGGACCTGGAATGGAATATTCATGTGGATTTGATTTCCACATTTGTAAAAGTAAAGTAGTTGGACTGAACAATACTTTAATAGCCTATCCAGCTTTAATATTCTGAATCCTAGAATTTGTTCCAAGCCCCTTGTCCTGATACCCATTCAGATCACCTCTTCTGTGGCTCTGGTCAGCCATCAGAGGAGAAAGACTGACTATCCAGATGGCTTTGTTTGGGGGTAAGAGGCAGACATTAGTGAAGAACATTGCTCCTAGGAGCTCCAGTGGCTAGAGACCAGGGTGAAGCAATGACATTACCTACACCCAGGGGCTGCACTGGTCTGTAGGGCTGGTAACCAACTGGGAGCTTCTTCTAGCCTCATCACAATGGGCTGCTCTCTCCCCAGAGGCCATTTCTAATTTTTGCTTGAAAGCATAGTGTTTATCTGTCTGACTCTATGCCTGCAACAGTTGGCAGGATGTCACTTTGCTTCAGACTGCCTTTCTGACTCAGTCTGTTCATCTGTAAAGCAGACATAGTAATGTTTGTACCCTACCTGACTCGGTTTGAGGTTACAAATTTTTTAAATGCTTTTGATGCATAGTCAGTACAAAACAACCATTACACATTGTGTTCTTAAGCCATCATGTGTACATAGGGTTTTAATGCCTTCTTTTCTCTTTCTAGGTAATAGTTTATTTCCAAACCAAGGACCTGAATTCTGTTTACTTCTCCCAGCTGTGCAAAAGCACATTCAAGTGAATGACTAAAACGCAGCCGCAGTGCATGTCGCAGACATTGGCAGCAGCAGGGGGGTCAGCACCCTAAAGGACTACTGGAAAATCATGCTGCTGTGAAATCACATTGCAGCACACAATTGCTATCTATCCATAGACCATTCTTGACCAAGCAAGCATGCACGTCATGGGCAGTTACATTCTCAAGTTTTTAAAACCAAGGGGAACTTGTATACTGGGCCTGTTTTTCAGCCTGTTTGCTACCTTTTTTGCATTCTACCCCATGTGAATTTTACAGACACTGGGCTAATAAGAGTATTCAAACACCTGGACACACATTCTTAGAATGTCATCATATGGTCCTAATTCCATGTCACCAAACAATAGAGACAAGACCCTGTTTACAACTTTTTCTTTTTTTTTTTAATTTCAGATCTTTCTGAGGAGATTATTATATATGACATATCTATAGCTATGTGTATGGCCATAGATGTATTTCTCTGTGTACATATGTATAGTCATGTATTCTTACATATGTACATACAAATACAGAGATATATAAAGTACATAGAAATTCCTTATTTGTAAATAGCCAAAGGTTACTGACATGAATGATAAATTTTCACATTTAAATAGTCATCAACATGAAGCCATGTTTAATGCTTGTATAATGTGATGCAATAAAATTTAAAATAAATTTATGCACATGGAATATTTTCAGTTGGGTCTTCTGAAATTCTGTTGTATTTTGTTCTCATAGAACAAGAGAAATCAGAGTGGGATCTTTAAAGAAATGTTTATTACTCCCACATACTCCTGAGAAATCACTTCACCCTTCAGAGAGGCTATTTTTTCTAAATCCATTTTTTCCATCTTGTTTCTGTACTACCTTTTCAGAGTATGAAGCCACCTAATTAGAAATTTCATAGAAAAATATGGAAAATGCCATTGATATACTTTGTTAAAGAAATATGAAATATAGCCAATGATAATTAATGCTGTTTTGATTACCTTGCTTACTAGTCTGGTCTGCTACTGATAGGAAGAAGCCATTCTATCTGGGGGGAAAAAAAAGTTTCTAAGTATGCCTGTTGTGGTAACTCTTTTTCTAGAGATAGCAGAACTTGCCCTTGAACTATGTTATCATCTTGTCTATGTCAGGGAGATGAGAGTGCTCCCATTACTATGTCTAATGAACACTGTCCTCATTCAGATATGTGCTCTCTTAAGCCGATTGATTCCCAAAGACCATAGATGTTTTCTTAGCTTTTATAGAAGCAGGCAGTCAGAGTGGCTTTGGGCAGGCCAGAACTTCAACCATTTCTTAGTTTTGTTTTTCCATGACCTGATGTTCATAGGAGTGAAATTCTAACCCCACCAGGGCCTAAACTATAGAGAAGTACTTTATGGAAACTGAAGACAAAAGGCCATTGAAAGAGTTTTCTTTTCAATCTTTGGCTAAGAAGTCTGTGAAATACTTCACAGCAGCCCCTGGGAGAGGAACTTCTATGAAAAGTCTTAAGAGATGAAATGCAAAGAGACATTCCAATAAAACAAAACTTGCTCTACTGACTTAGCTTGTAACTTCTGTTTGCTATGCCTCTCCAAGCTCCAAACATCATGGCCCAATAAATCCTTGAGGCAGGGAGAGCAGCAAGGGCAAAAGAAAGAATTGCAAGTCCTTCTTTGGGTTTGGAATGGACCATGAACATTAAAAGCTAGGTAGAGGACTACCAAACACACTTGTCAGGACCAAGAAGTAAAACATTTAAGTACCACTTTCTACTGGTCTGAGCATAAACTGAACTTAAGACAGCTCTATAGCCAGAATTTTTTTCTGCCTGTGGAATTCTGCCTTTGCTATTCCAAGTGCTTCAGACAATCACAATTCCTGATATGTTTCTGGCATACAATTCTTTTCTTCCTTTCTTCCTCTTATACTCTCTCCCTCACTTCCTCTTTCCTCCCACCATTCTGCTTGCCCACTCTTCTTCTCTTTCTTTCTACCAATGCAGTGAGTATACTTATTCACCTTCCCCGTTTGGGGTACAAAGAAAATGTGGTGAATATCTTAAGGTGTTTTTAGGTTTGTTGTAGGGAGAAAGGCAAAGAAGGTTATAGAAGAGAATTTCTGATGTAGTTTATAAGAAATCAAGTGTAAGGAGTAACATCACCAAGACAGAGACATAGTTTCCATTTTGTGAGGAAGAGCAAAGTCAGGAACCTAACAACTATTCATGGATAAGACCACTGAGAAAATTTAGAATGCAGGAGTGATGCTGAAGCACCCCCATACAATGGAGACCAAAAAAGATCACATTAGAAGAGCAAGAGGAACAGCTACAGGCTGATGGCATTGTCCCTCCTCCAGGCTGATACAGTGCTATGCCAAGGTCTTTCCTGAGCCTCAGTTCCTCCAGGGAAGAGATGGAGAGTGCTGTGTGGACATTCAGCATCTCTAGCATTGTGGGTCACTTTTTAGCAGTTCCCCTCCTAATTTTCCCCCACAGAAATTACAGGAAAATCTGCAGGACTTGGCTACTGGGATTCTGATTATGATGGAGAAGAGAGAAAGTGCTTGCAACAACCAAAAGTCAGATCTTGGAAAACTGAGTTCTTAGCTATAATGCCAAAGAAGTACTCCCAGCCAGTGGCTTTATCTGCATAGCCATGACCAGGAAACTTGGATGTAGATCCGCCTGATTCAGGTCCTTAAAACACACAAAATGGCTGAATGCACCCAAAAAAACCCACAAAATCCAATGATATGCTGCCTAAAAGACACACATAGACTGGGTGAAGAGATGAAAAAAGATATTTCAAATAAAGGTAGCCAACCAAACAAAACCCAAGCGTAGCTCTAGTTCTAGCAGACAAAATAGGTGTTAAGCTAAAATGGTAAAAAGAGGCAAATAAGGTCATTATACAATGATAAAGGGGTTAATCTATCTATAAAATGCAGCAATTGTGAATATTTGCACCCAACATCGGAGCACATAAATATATAAAGCAAAAGTAATGGAGCTAAAAGGAGAAATGAACAGCAATACAATACTAGTTGGGTACCTTAGCACCCACTGTCAACAGACAGATCATCCAGACAGAAAATCAATAAGGAAATGGCAGATATGAATAACACTATAAACCTAATGGAGCTAACAGACCTATAGAGAACATTCTATCTGACAACACCAGAATACACATTCTTCTCAAATGCACATGGAACATTTTCTAGGATAGACTATATGTTAGCAAATTCAGAAAGCCTGAAACCATACCAAGTATCTTCTCTGCCCATAATGGTATGAAACTAGACATCAATAAAAGGAGGGAAACTGGAAAGTTCATGAATGAATGGAAATTAAATACTCTCCTGAACGACCAATGGGTCAAAGAAGAAATTAAAAATATCTTGGGACAAATGAAAATGGAAACACAAAACACTAGAACTTATGGGATGTAGCAAAGCAGTTCTCAGAGGGAAGCTCATAACAGCAAATGCCTACATTAATAAATAAGACATAATTCAAACAACCTAACTCTACACCATAATGAACTAGAAACAGAAGAAAAACTGAGCCCAAAGGTAGCAGAGGAAGGAAATAAATATTAGAGCAGAAATAAGGAACAAAAAAATTCAAAAGATTATCTTTTCATAAAACCAACTGTTGTTGGTGGGGGGAGCAAGATGGTAGAGGAAAGGAGACCTAAATTTCATCTGGTCCCAGGTATTCAGCTAAATAGTTATCAAACCACTGTTAACAGCTACAAATTAAACAGGAGACTGAAGAGAAGAATAGCAGCAATTCTATGAACAGAAAAGCGACAACTTTCTGGAAGGTAGGGTGTGCAGAGAAGTGAATCCAAGGCAAGATATGGGAATATAGACTGCATGGGGAGATGGGGCCAGCTCCCAGCAAGCAGTAGAGCAGCAGAACACAAAATTAGAAAATTTAGAAGTCTGCTCCACTGAAGGATGTGGCTCCAGAGGCTAAGCCAGGGTGGAGCCCTCACTGGGACAGTGTGGTCTCAGGACCCACCAGGTCACAGAAAGACCAGGGGTGTTTGAGTGTGGCAGAGCTCCCAAGTATTGGAAGGGAACCAGCAGGGAAGGGTACTTGCAAGGAAGCCAGCTGCAGAGACGGGTGTAAGGAGTGCACTCCCAGCTCAGGATTACCATAAACCATGATCCAAAGCAAAGTGTGGCCATTGATCTTCAAGCAGGGACCCCACAAGTGGCAGATCCAAGGAGACACCCCCCCCCCACCTTCTCCACCAGGAGGAGCAGCACAGGAGCTTGCTATAGGAATCTGCTGGGTTTGGAGACTCCAAACAGGGCTGTGAGCCAGAGAAAGAAAGCTCAGTCACAGGCTGGAGGAACTTGGAGTGCAGCTGGAGACTAGGGAGAGAGGCATGATTGACTGCTTTTCTCGAGAAGGCACTGAAGGGGGGGTGGTCCAAGCTCCATTCCTGTGGGGCTGGAAATTGGGAGGCAACTATCTTCATTCCCATCCTCCAAAGCTATATGGAAAGCTTTCAGGGAACAAAAGATAACGAGAGCAGAACCAAGTAGATAACTTAGCCTGGCCGCTGGCAAGGGTGGTACAATTCCACATTGGGAAAAGACATTTGAGAATCACTGCAAGAGGCCCTTCCCCCAGAAGATCATCAAGACAATCCAACCAAGACCAAGTTTACTGATCAATGAGAACTGCAAAACAACCGTGCTAGGGGAAAATAGCATATAAAATTTATGGGAATTTTCCCCATGATTCTTTTGCCTTTCAAAGTTAAATTTTTTAAATTTGTTATTTTTTTTCTATTTTTTAAAATTTTTCCTCTTTTCTATTTAAACCTATTTCAACTATTTTTTCTTCCCAATGTCTTTTTATTTATTTATTTATTTACTTAAACTCTGAAAGAGGTGTTTTTTTTTTAAGATTTTATTTATTTATTTCACAGACAGAAATCACAAGTAGGCACAGAGGCAGGCAGAGAGAGAGGGGGAAGCAGCCTCCCTGCTGAGCACAGAACCCAATGTGGGGCTCGATCCCAGGA